CTGCTGCACCAGATCTCCCTGGTAGAAGAGAGAATACTCTCTCAGAGAATGGGTGTTGGGTAAGGAATTATTAGTGGGAATAGGTGTGGCTGGAACACCCTTTCACCTTCCCACATCTTCAGTTCATTTGTCTGTGATCTTCACAGGGTCTCTCAATTTCTAAGTGCCTCGCTTAGAGAATTATATTGGTAGACAACCTCCCAGGAGTCCTACCATGAGATAGCTCTGAGCCACCTCTTCCAGAGTCATTATAGGATCCCCAAGTCATGGTCCCAGTGGCCACACTAACAAGGCCCTGAGAGAAAGAGGTAAAGCACCACATTCCCGAGGGGTCATTAGGAAGCTGGGTTTGAAGAGGCTTCCCTTTCCTCATGCCTTTTCTCTGGGGCTTCCTCCTCCTCCTCCTCCCCAGATCCAAGGAAGTTCTGATATTGACTTGTCTCCATTCTAGACCCTGGTCTAACAGCTAGGAAAGAAGACTGTCCTTCAGGAAACCCATGTCTAGTCCCAGTCACACCTCTTACTCCCTGGGGGGCTGTGAGGATATGGGCAAGGACTCTAGGCCTCAGTGACCCCACCATTAAGCAGAGCTTGCATTACCTGCCCTCACTACTCCCTGCCCATGAAGCCAGAGCTAGAGAAAACCTAAATTCCAGAAAGTGCCAGATGTTTCCATGTGTATGAGGGGCTTGTATGTTACCCTTTGTTGTCTCTTGCTTTCCATCCTTCTCCTCTTCCCTGGGAGAGCTAATGTCTGAACACCCTGGAGGATAGCAACATAGGCGATGTCTGCTTGCTCTTCCCTCAGTTATATTCCTGACATATAGCCGTTCACTTGCTCTCTGGGTGCCGTTCTTTTCTGGAAGAAAACTAACTGGCGTCTATTCCCGTTCCAGGTGAGTATTCTCACAAGTCCTTCCTCTGCTCTTACAAAACAGAGAAGGGGCCTCTGGGGCCATCAGCCCAAACCTGATATTATCCAGGGCGCAATGACGTCCCTGAAAGGGGAAAAAACAAATGATGTAGGGGGAAAGTTGGGATAATGGGCCAGACAGAGATCCTGGCTCCTTTTCTGGTCTTCTTTGCCCAGAACCCTGTCTCTTGGATGAAGCGTGCACTCTGTTACTTTTAGGAGAGAGTATGAGGGGATTTGCAGAGTCCAGTTCACTCTCCAGGGTCTCCCGCATCAGGAAGCCCAGAGGCTTCCCTCCGCTGAAGTCCTGGTCAAGCTTTTCACCACTGGGAGCAAGCAGGGTTGGCGGAGTTCCAGAGCAGGGACTGTTGCTCCTCAGTGAGGGAAGCCCCCTGTGTGGTCATGCAGGAGAGTTCCTCAGCAGGCCACGGGTGAGCCTGTCAGACTCTCTGGATAACTCAGAGGGTCAGAATCCCACAGGGACTAAGCAAGCAAATGTCAGGCCATCTGAGGGTTGGCAGCAGCTGTCTCGGGGCTCTTCTGTCTGGCTCTGACTCATCTGTCTGTAAGATGGACCCTTCCTAATAAAAGGAGCCTTATTTGGGGGTAAGATCATGTGTCATGTGAATTGTTATGGGACCTGCTTGTCGCATCAACACAATGGCAGCCCTGCCACCACCTTGCACCACACCCTCACTCATCACCTCCCTTAATTCGCACTAATCCATGAAAGTTCAGACTAATTCCAATGAGTTCAGAAAGTCCTCCAGGATGACCCAGCTAATACCGATACTCTTTTTTGCTAGAATTATATGGACATTTGAACCATCCATTTGTTTATTTAAGTCATATTGAGTACCTACTCTGTGTAGAATGTGGTGATGAGTCTTTCCATTGAAAGAGTTCATTAGACTTGTGTTCTGTCCTCAAGTCACAGAGAAGGAGGGCAGGTGTGCACAACTGAGAAATGATTCCACTAAAAGGTAAACAGAAATGAGTTCCAAGAAATTGTGTGTAGTTGGAGTTTAGGAAACAGGTGGGGGAGTTCCCAGGAAAGATGAATTCAGCAGCTAAGCCATTGAGACTAGTCTTGAAATATTTTGGGCATGCTGAGTTGAGGAAGGGTCATTGCAGGCAGCAAAAGCAACATGAGCAAGGAGGTGGAAATCACAGAGTCATAATTAACTGCTTAAAAGGAATCCAAGAGGGAAAATAGGTAGCAGTTACCTACTTTAATATAATGTTTGTTCCCCAAAAAATGTTATTATCCACTGATTTGTCCATTTGCAAAGCATTGATCAGTTACCAATTTCATCAGTTGATAATCAGGTAGATATCCCTACCACATGTCCTGAACACACAGGATGGAGACCTCACTGGAAAGACTGGTCACTGAAGTAGTCTCACATTGGAGTTGACCTCTTGTTATAAAAAATATGAGCAATGAGATGAAATTGAAATAGAGATCAATCTATATAGTTCACTGCAAGTATGGTGAAGGGTTCTCTGCAGAAGGTCTGTATAACCTAGAAGGTCTGGTGGCCTTCCATCCCCTATAAGGGTGAAGCAAGGAAAATGGCAGCAAGAAGCCATAATCACACCTCTCAAATTGCAAATATATCAGAGATTCTCCATCCTGGTTGGGCATTTGAGCCACCTGAGACACACACACTCATACTCCATGCTATGACTTTAATAAAGTGACTCGAAAAATCCTCAGGCCACCCCATGATGTGATGTTGGTGCCATCCCTATCCTCATGGCACTTTCAGGGCAAGTGGAGGGTCCTTTACAGAAGGTCTGTATAACCTAAAAGAGCTTGTGGCCCCAGCCACCTTCTGGCCCCTCACCAACAGCCCCCACATAACCCAGACAGCCCAGAGGATATTGGTGGCTGCATCCTGGGCTTGTGACTTCACCGATGCATTGCCATCAATTAAACTAATTAGATCAAAATTCCTGGTGAAAAGCTTGAGAATCAGTATTTTCTTCTTAAAGCATCCCCCAAAAAATCCAATTACCATGGGGACTGGAAATCACATCTAACAGAGGGTTAGGAATCATAGCTGGAAATGTTGGTCACCAAACCTTTGTCAGACCCACCAAACAATTTGACAATCACAATCATTGGTGTCTTCTGATTCCTGCTATACTTTCACTTGACTTCATTCTTTAGAGAAGTTTTTAAGACATTTCAAATTTCTGTAACTTTTCTGCATGTCAGCTTTTAAACTATTGTCTCTTCTTAAGGACTATCAAAGTAAAATGAGACAGGACTATGTCTTAAATTTAAGAAAATGGAAAGAGCTGCTGATTGGAATTGCTAATTGAGTGGAATTTCCGAGACAGCAGCCATCGGGAGGGAGCTTTGAAAAATTCTAATGCCCAGATCTCACCTTTAGTGGTTCTGATTTAAGCACCCTGAAGGTAGAGTCCAGATATCAGGACTAATAATTTTAATACACAACCAAGGTTGAGACTCCTACAAAACACTTGATTCATGATTGCTTCTGTGTAGGTCTTATCTTTATTTCTCTATAGTCCATGCTGATAGACAGCCATGGAACTGCTGACCATGCAATCTTTTTGTATTTCTGGTCTCACCTGAAGACTGTACAGTCGGTCTCCCCCAAGGGCTTCTCCTTCAGTCCTGCTTCCTATGCATCTCAGATCCAAGACCAGCAAAGTCCATGCCACCATCCTGTGTGTTATTTTTCCTTTTTTTATGACCAAGAGCTTTTAAAAACTTTTTGGAGATCATATCCCCAGACAGTCATATCAGTCATTACAGCATCTCTGATTTCTGCGATCTCTCTCGAATCACTCCTGCCTTGAATTGCACTGCCTCAATGATCACCCATTCCCTTCTGTGAGTTGCCAGACTCCGGCAACTTTCTAGCCTCTGGTTTTGCTCTATTCTGTGCAAGGGAATGACATTACATTCTTTTCCTCATGTTGTTATTGGTGCATGATAGTTGTACATAACGATGGGATTTGTACCTACATATAATATAACGATATAATTTGGCCAATATCCCTACCCAGCACTTCCTCCCTTCCTGCCTCCCACCCCTATTGCCTCTCCTATCCTGATCTCCCTTTGATTTTTAGGAGATGCAACCCCCCACACACACACCTTTATTTTCCTTTTTTCTCTGAAGCTTCTGTATAATGACATTACTTTTAACTAAGCTCTGGCTTTGCTTATTCCAAGGGCAATAGAGACAATGATATTTTTGTTCCAGAGTTTAATGTATGTAAAAGACAATTCAATATGGCTCTCTGTGTACATGCCTGCTTAACTGGAGGATATCACCTTAAACTGATGTCTCATTGGTCAATCTACCATGCCTAGCTGAGTGCAGAACAAGTAGAAAACAAGACACTATGCAATATAAAATTCTAATCACACCAAGAAGCAATCAACATTTGGAGTATGCTTACTGCTTTGATTTTGGAGAAGCCATATTAACAGAATAAATAACCTTATTTATTTAAATCAAGCTGCAATCCAAAGACAACGTAAGGGCTTAAGTAACAACAAGAACACTAGCAATTCATTGAACTAGAGATTTTGAACATACAATTCAGAGTAAGGCCCCTCACTGTGGAAAAACATACTTGATGGGTCTGACAATCACAATCATGGGTGTCTTCTGATTCCTGCTATACCTTGACTTCATTCTTTAGAGAAGTTTTTAAACCTAGATTATGTTTTTAAATGTTTTCTAGTTTCTCTGAAAATATTAATTTTTCTATTGCAAAAATCTGCTTATTAGTTTGAGCTGATCCCTCAGAGGAAAAAAAAAGGTAGGGAAATTCAACTAAACCTTATTACATTTAAAGTGGAAGTCTGCTTTTAATATGTTTTGCCAAGTATTCTGACCCTTTCAGCTAGGAGACTATGGGAGGTAGGAAGTGGGGGCAGCACTAGGCAAAGTGAAGGTGTTGAGGTGATAGAGGAGGTCGACCAGTAAGGTATGGTTGGGGGTGGGAAAATATTCACGTAGACAGGTAGAAACATTCCCATGGGACTTTGCAAGTAAGTGATTTAGAACATTTATGTTGTATAAATGAATACCCCCTCCTAGGACATTTCACTACAGCAAATCATGGATCCAGAAGCTGGGATCAATAGGACAGCTGTCACCGAGTTCATTCTACTGGGCCTGGTGGAAACAGAAAAGCTACAGTCCATGCTGTTTGTGCTCTTCTTCTTTGCCTACCTGGTCACAGTTGGGGGCAACCTAAGCATCCTGGCAGCCATCTTGGTGGAACCCAAACTCCACACCCCCATGTACTTCTTCCTGGGGAACCTATCAGCACTGGACATTGGGTGCATCACTGTCACTGTTCCTCCCATGTTGGATCGTCTTGTGTCCCACAAGCGTACAATTTCCTATGATGCCTGCCTCACACAGCTCTTCTTCTTCCATCTGTTGGCTGGAATGGACTGCTTCCTGTTAACAGCCATGGCCTATGACCGATTCCTGGCCATCTGCCGGCCCCTCACCTACAGCACCCGCATGAGCCAGACAGTCCAGAGGATACTGGTGGCTGCGTCCTGGGCTTGTGCCTTCACCAATGCACTGACTCATACTGTGGCCTTAACTACCCTCAACTTTTGTGGACCCCAAGAAGTGAATCACTTCTACTGTGACCTTCCCCAGCTCTTCCAGCTCTCCTGTTCCAGCACCCAGCTCAATGAGCTGCTGCTCTTCGCTGTGGGTTTCATAATGGCAGGAACCCCTGTGGTTCTCATCATCAGCTCCTACATCCACGTGGCAGCTGCAGTCCTGCGAATCCGCTCAGCTGAGGGCAGGAAGAAGGCCTTCTCCACATGCGGCTCCCACCTCACCGTGGTTTGCCTTTTTTATGGGACAGGCATCTTCAACTACATGCGTCTGGGTTCAGAGGAGGCTTCAGACAAGGATAAAGGGGTTGGGATTTTTAACACTGTCATCAACCCCATGCTGAACCCACTTATCTACAGCCTCAGAAACCCTGATGTGCAGGGTGCTCTGAGGCGAGTATTTGTGAGAAGGCAGTCACTGACCTGAGAAGTGACAGGATTCCTCCTTTCCTGCCTTTTCTGGACAGGAAACTTTGCCATGAAGGCAACAATCAATTAAAAATGCTCCATAACCATTTTCCCTATCTCTTAATGCCTGAAGATTAGTGTTATGTGTTTGTCCTACAAGGAGACCCTGCATAATTCATTCATTTACCCATTCAATAAGTACCTGATGGATTACTTCTATAATTCAGACTGTCTTTGAAGAAATTGGTGGACAGAGTAGACAAAAGTCCCTTGACTCGTGAAACTCACATGCTGTAAAAGTCAGCAAGATTTATTTAAACACCACATATAGTGTATCACACAGTGACACTGCTATAAAGAAAAGCAAGTGTGAGGGCTATAAAGTTAGATACTGCCAAGCAAGGCACCCGGGCACGTGGCTACCTTATTTTTTTACTATGCCCACTTTCTGGGTGGAGTTGAAGCCCCAGAAGCCCTGTATGTCTGGGATCAATGTCCCAAAGGATATTGGAAATAGAAGGGGACATTGGAAATTGGAAAATTCCATTTGGTTCATCACCGCTAAAGTATCTAAAAATGTCACTGTAAAGTTTCCTTCTGGTGGGTATATGAGATTCCCTTCAGACAGACCAGAGTGCAGAAAGTTTTCTTTAAAAACCACAGGCCCAGGACCAGGGATAATCTCACCCAACTTAGCCTTTCACTCCAAGAAGGTCAGTTCCTTTCTCCACTATTACATAAGAATCTCATGGATGTTTAGGGGACAGGAACAGTGTAGATAAGGAAAAACTCCACAGAATAGAAATTACATTAATGTACACATGGTCCATATTAAGATCAAAAAATAATGACCCATCTCCACCCCTTGTCATGTATTTTTATCTATTTGATAGGTCACCTTCCTCACACTATGGTAAAGCCTTTGAAAGAATATTTACATCCCAGCCAGGTCCTTGGCCTATTCAATGTGAAACACCCAAGACAACCTTCCCTTTCCAACCTTTCCAACCTCCTTGCTCATAAATTTTACATATCATTAAATGTCCCTGGGGGTGATAGTGATGTCTGTCTGTGTGCTGTGTGTCTTCCTTTCTTCCACACATCCTTCCTTCCCACCACCTTTTCTCTCCTTCATCTTTTTCTCTCTTTCTTTCTTTCATGGACTAACCTGAATATTTGATTTAAGGCATACAAGAGAAACTTGTCATTAAATACATTTTCTTATTTGTGCTTGAATCACAATTCCCTTTCATTTCCTAAATATGGTTAACAAGTATATACCACATCTTCCCTGCCTCCTTGCCTGTCCTTCTGTTTTCATTATCCCATTTCTAATCATTCAACTTTTGGTGATGCTTCTAACTTTTTTTTTTATTAATACATCAGCACAGCTCTAACTCAGAGCATTTCCTCATCTGGATGTTAAGCCAAACTTTAGCCCATTGTTCCTGATTCCTGTCTTCTCTCCAGTCTCCCTGGGAGGATCACTGACTCTCTGGATGATTCTTCTGGCTCTCTACTGTGTCGTCCCTTTGCCCGTCCTCTGGCTGCACCTGGGGCTTGGCCTCATTGTGATTTCCTCTCAGAGACCAGAAATTGAAGGATGGACTGAGATGGATGCAAAGAAAAAAAATCTGAAAGCGGGAGGTAGAATGGTTTGGAGTAGAGCAGTGGAAATTGAATATGAGACTATAAGGAGGAGAGTGGTGGATGGGATGGTGAGCAAAAGAGGTAAGAAGGAGGGACAGAGGTGAGGGAAAAAAACATGAAGGAACAGGAGATGAGAAGGGATGAGGGGATTTGGGGAATCAGACAAAATACTTCAGGAATATCAATGAGAAAACAAATGACTGCAGAATAAATGAAGAATGGGCAGGGAAGGAGGAAGAGGAGGAAAGTCATTGTGTGGAATCCCTTCCATCAGTGTGTGTGACCGACTAATAACCTGCTTCAGCAGCTTTGAGGTCATTGTTGGACCTTGACCTTCCTACCAAGAAAAACAGAGGTGTCGTGATGCCATTATCAGGGTACTTCTCCTCTTCAGCGTCCTCTGCTAGGGGGTGATTATAGAAGGACCCAGCATGAGAGTGACATGCAGGAGTGAGGTGGGGGGAAATGTGTGTTCTGGGACATCATCCTCCATGACCATCAGCCATCAAGGCCCTCAGCCTCTCTGCCTTTGGGCCCACACCTGACAATTCTGTATGAAACACAAAATGAAGTGTATCTCTTTCCTGACACTCTTGAGTCTCCAGATACTATGGGGTGGAAGACAGTATTCTTCTCTCAAAGGGAAAAATCCTTGTGAACAGAATTTAGGGATGTGGGTTGTACTCACAGCATCCCAGCTCCTCCTCTGCTCTGTGGTCCTGGCAGGTTCCTGACCATGGTGGGCTCATTCCCTCCTGTACAAGGGAGTGGGACAAGATCATCTCTCCACAGTCTTTATGTTTAGTGACATCTGAGTATTATCATCTGCCTGTAAACATCAAAAAACATTTTGAGGGCATTATCTACCACCCTTTATATCACTCCATGTACCCCAGGAGCATTTAACACAGCCCCAAATAATCTTACATATGACCCCAAAAGGTCCCCAGGGCCTTGGCAGCGGCTACTTCTGAAAAGTTACCCCTTGCTCATCTCCTGCCCATCCTCCTAGACCAAAATATTTCCTGACAAGTGCAGAAGTTCTGTTTCCCTTGGGTTTTCTCTCTTTGTACCCCAAATGTATATATACTTATTTTAAGATTTTCCAGAAATGTCATACCTGATTATGGAAACATTTACTTGATAGCATTTGTCAATTAGAAAATAAAAATCAGTATAATAAAGGAAAGGGACCAGGGGTTGGAGAAAGGGAGGGATGAAGGGAGTGCTAGAGAGTGATATTGGCCAAATTATATTGATATGTTGTGCAAATATACAAATTTGTTGTGTAACAACAAATTCCATCAATGTTTACAACTATAATGGATCAATAGAACAAGTGTATGAGTGTGTGGGGGGGAATCATACAAAAAAGAAAGCACCAATCAAAAATAAATAAATAAAGAGTGAAAGGAAGATCAGTAGAGATGAGGAAGGAGAAGAGGAGGAGAGAGGATAGGAGGGAGTGGAAACAAGGACTGAAATGCAGTAGTCCAAATTCCATGCATGTATAATTTTACCAAAATAAACCCAACTACTGTGCATAGTTATAAGCTCCAATAAAAAATATCTCACAAAAAAGCCAAGTGTTCCTTCACTGTGCCAAAAAAAATTCCATTATTAAGAAGACACAGAGACAAACCCACATAAATATAGCATATCTTATTTAACCCAATGATCTAAAATATCACCATTTTAACATGCAATAAAGATTAAGAGCGGATCCGGTGGCCTAAACATGGACGTGCACCTGAGGAACTTCCGGATTCAGGGGCCTAAACATGGACGTGCATCTGACAAACTTCCGGATCCTGGGGCTTAAACATGGACGTGCACCCGAGGAACCTCTGGATAGGTGGGCCTAAACATGGACACCTGAGGAACTTCCAGATCCTAGAGCCTAAACATGGATGTGCACCTGAGGCACTTCCAGATCTGGGGGCCTAAATATGGACGTGCACCCATAGAACTTCCGGATCCTGCCGCTTAAACATGGACGTGTGCCTGAGGTCCAGGGGCCTAAACATGGATGCCTGAGGAACTTCCGGATCCGAGGGCCCAAACATGGACGTGTCCTTGGAATTTCTGGGTCCTTGTGCCTATAAAAGGCAGGGTGTGACTCTCAGAAGGGACGTGGCCCATGAAGGGGAGCCGAATATGGGGCCTGTTGGGGGGCAGACTGAGCTGTCGCACCCTGAACTTGAATGTGACGGTGGCCTCACTTCCCGGCCTTCCCCTGGGTATCACTTTCTTCCCTTCCAGGCAGTGCCGGAGAGGAAGTAAGACCAGGGGCAGGGGCCAGACCCTGAGGAGGGACACCATCTTTCTCCTTGCTTAGCCAGACGCCTGGCCTGGCTGGGGACAGGGACGTCTTGTGACACTGGCTACCTCCTGCATTCCTGCCCCAGGACCTCAGGGACCACAGGCGGGACAGTCATTGATTCTCCCCTGGCCACTGACTCTCAGCCCCAGGGTCTGCCCAGGG